AGGGGTAGAGAGAAGTAGAGACAGAATCCCAAGCAGGCTCTCTGCTGAAAGCATGAGCCTGATGCAGGGCTTCAACTCACAAACCTTGAGATCATGACCTGAGCTGAGATCAAGAGTCAGATGCTTAACTGCCTGAGCCACCCAGGCACCCCTCAACTTATCTGGCATTTAAAAATTTGTTTCTTTAATGTTTGTTTATTTTTGAGAAACAGGGAGAGACAGAGCATGAGCGGGGGAGGGGCAGAGAGAGAGAGGGAGACACAGAATCCGAAGCAGGCTCCAGGTTCTGATCTGTCAGCACAGAGCCCAACGTGGGGCTCAAACCCATCAACCGTGAAATCATGACCTGAGCCCACGTCGGTCACTTAACTGAACCACACATGCATCCCTTATCTGTCATTTTAATAGAGAGCACTTAGGGAACCTGGGGACTCAGGTCATGGTCTATGGCCTCTTTGATTTTAGTCTGGTTATATGGTCTTTCTGAGCTTTGGTTTCCTCACTTGTGTAACTAAGAATTGAGTTTTTTCTCTAAGGTTCTTTCTCAGAATCAGGCATGGTCTAGGTTATCTTTCTTTTTGGATCATATAGACTACTATAAATAGTTAGCTTCATCTGTTTCTATCTCTTGAACCCTGTCCTCCTACTCCCCCACAGAGAAGCTCCTTATGATCCCACAACCCAGACATTTGTGTCCATTCATGCTGAAACATTGACTTTGGACTATTTTCCATATTTTTAGAAGTCCAGTGCCCTATCCATTGTACCATAAAGCCACCTTTTTCTTGCATATTTCTAAATAGTCTCTAAAATCCCTTGTGTTACTTTTAGTTCTGTAGATATATAATAGCTTTTGATTAATCTTATAGTAGAGTTATCGCTCCTTCTGAATTCATTAGAGAACCAGGGAATAGTCGTAATAGTGCCTAAATATTATCATCTCCCCTTATTAATTCATATACCTTCAAATCAGACAGGATGGTTGGATTAATGTCAACCAGTTTCCCACTTGTCCCACAGAATTAGCCAAGCTTGTTCGATTCGTAGAGCTATTTCTGAACCTGAAACTGGGACAAAAAGCTAATTCACTGGGTATTACGGTTGGTATTGAGATAGGTATTCTCCAACCAGAAGAATGGGGCAAAACAAAAGGGATGACATTTCAGGGAGTTATTTTTTGGTTATATGAGGACAGGAGCCTTATCTGATTCACTCTGTCCCTAGTACTCAGGAGAACATCTCACCATAGTAGGCCTTCCATAAAAATTTGTTGAATGAGTGAATAAATCAAATTACAATTCCTTAAGTACAGAGTAGAAGAGCTTACTTAACTTTTAGATTTAAGGTCTTAGAGGGCATGTGGGTGGAGAACCAATATGGTGGAGTGCCTGAAATTGAGTTAAATAAAAGAACATGGATTTACCTGGAATGTAACTTAGTAAGGGTACAGTGTTCCTTTATTTAATTCTTAAGTACAGCACTTAGACTAATGGAAAGATGTGACAGTTTTGTCAAGTATCCTATTCTTGGAATCTAGGGCTGGTCACATAGGGCTTCGATGACCATTTGTCAGAAATGTCAGAGAAGGGATTCCTGAAAGAATAATAGGTAATTTGACTTACTGATCTAAAAGGTCCATGTGAGTTCATCGTTTTGTGAGTTTTACTTCAAAGGGAGGTTGGACGTAGCATGTGGACTATCTCACCAAAAATAATGAAGTGGATGATGAAGTTTTCAGTCTTTGCTACAGAGATTGAATTTATGGAGCCTTTTCTGACAATGTTAACATTTTCAGGAATATCAAAATACAGACATAGTTTTGTCTTCTTATTGATGAGTCCAGTGATAGGGAGCACAGAAAAGTGATAGTGGATAGAGGAAAGCCAGATCTGAGGGAAATGAGAAAAGAAGGAAGCGTTAGAATATCATTGTTAATTGCTTGGGTTTAGAATATCAACAGGTGTCCTCCAGGTGCCTCAGTAACCCCTGATAGAGTATTTTCTTTATTAATGTCACACCAGTGAGAATATAGCAGCAGTCTGGAGGTTTATGAATGCATAAAAAGAACTTCCTAGCACACCTCAGTAGCCTCTGAGTACATGTAGGTCTGCATGATGAAATTATCTTTCCGGTGTTGAATCTGAGTCTTCAAAAAATATTAAATCATTTCTTCAGCAAAGTTGGAGAGTTTAAAAGATGATTGTAAACATGTTTTGTTGTCTCCCCAAATTAGCAGTTTATTGAGGGGGGCTTGCACACAAACAATTATATTACAGCTTGATACATTTTTAAAAAACTTTGACATGTGTAATATGCTCTGGGAACATTCTGCATTGGGCAATCAGTAAAAAAAGGAGACTAGATCTTGGAGGATAAGCTTAGAAGGATAGGAAGTGGAGGTGGTCGGTACATAGCAACAGTACAGAGACAAATACCTTCACACAGGGACTTGGCAGTAAGGTTGCTTTGTAGTAAGTAAGCTTGAAAGTCATCACGTTTTGTTCAGAGCCTGAGTGTTAATTTTTCAGAAAGCCTCTTAGATGAAAGCAAGACTGTGAAGATATCAGTGTATCTAAAGAGATGCAGTATCAGTCAGGCGGGAGAGAAACTGAATGGTAGGAGGGCAGAAACAACGTAAACAAAGGAGAAAGTTAGGGAGATGTACTTCAGCAGTCTGCATCCAAACACCACCCAGGAGAATGGAACACTCGTTTTTGTGGTTTGTACATCTCTGATGTGTAGATGGACACGCCAGGCTGCCATTAACGTGATACCATTTGTGAATTGTTTCATAAAACAAACTCCCCTCGCTATAATTTCCTATTAATTAAGCAACATTCTGATTATAATTTGCCTTCCCATCCAGATTGGTCTGCAGGGAGAACATATACTGGTTATGCTGACACAAACATTCTGATCTGCATGGCAGTTATGGTTCTTATTGTAAGCTGATGTAGTTAATTGAGTGGTATTCTAGTTTGTACATTAGTCTCTCGTGAGCTTAATGTTCCTCTATTGCTGAAAGATGGCTCCACTCAGAGTACCAAAAAGAAAAGAAAATCCAGTCCCTAAGTTTACAAAGCTGAGCTACAGACCAGGAGGATGTAGTCATCGGGATAAATGCCGCCTCTGAGCTACTGGCCCCATTTTCAAATAGCACAGCTTCAGGCAGAGTCGTACACATCACATGGGGGTGGGGAGACGTACACAGGCATGTCAGAGAAGCTGCAAGTAGTTGCAGTCAGAGAGAGTGGGAAGGAGGGAGGTGATGCTGGACAGAAGGGCAGAAGACAGGTTGTGCAAGGACTCTCTTCTTGTGGGCAGAGGGTTTCATTTATTTTGCAAAAGTAATTTGGATTGAAAGGAAATGTTGGGTGATTCTGCTAAAATGCTATCTTTTCCTCTTGTGATGAATTTTCATTGAGCACATCTCTTTGTTCTTGTAACTTCAAGCTGGATTTTTTGGCCACATCATCTCCTTGCTTATGTTGTATTTGCTAGGGTAGGTAAAGATGATGAGGTCGCTGTGTAATGAGTGAAAGCAAAGCTGGCCAGCCACCATGACTTTTTGGGCCACTGTTTACACTACATTCTAGTGATTTTGTGACCTTCCTTCAGGTGTGTGCAACACCACTTGAATTTTTCTAGTAATGAAATTGTGAAGCCGTAATGATTGGGACTTGCTTTGCCTAGAGGGGGCCCCCAAGTCTTTGTAATCTCCTAGATGATGCTTAGAAATCTCTTCTCATTAAATATTTTTGCTTACTTTTGAGAAGTACCTCTGTCTTGCTTTGATCAAATTTACATGACTCAAAGCATTTATGAAGTATGACTGTATTTGAAAACTTAGCCTTTTTAAAATCTTTGTTTTGATGAGATAAGGTAGTAACATGTTTTTTTTTTTTTTCTGAAATGAAGATACTAACAATCTTATTTTATATTTTACTTTTCTAGCGTTTTTCTAATATTTACTGAAAGCTCCAAGTCCGTTTGTGGTGTCAGCTGTTATTCTCCAATCTGTTAATGGCATTATGTTACTAAAATATGAAGGATTTCTTTAAACTTCTTTTTCTTTTGGTTACAGAATTACTTTAATTTTCTTTGCCAAGTATCCACTCACCCAGTTTCCTCAGTGCCCTTCTTCTGAATTCTCTGTAACTTGACCTCAGCTGATGAGTAGGCAAAATGTTTTTAGTAAAGAGACTGACAGAGTCAGATGTGGTTCCTTACACACTCCTTTGAGTTGGCTACACAGGTATTGCAAGCGTTTCTTGCCATTACTTAATTCTGTTTTTATTTCTTATCCATGTTTTAGGAAAAGCATATAAGCAATGAAGAAGAGTACTTAAGGAGGATGGAAGAGGCCAGATTGCAGCTCAAGGATCAACTTCTTTGCCTGGAGACTGAACAGGAATCCATTCTTGGTGTCATAGGAAAAGAAATTGATGCAGCTTGTAAAACCTTCTCCAGGGACTCGATGGAGAAATTGAAAGTAATTATGAGTTCTCATTGTGCCTTTCAGTTGGTTTCCTAATATATAATTATAATAAGATTTTAATGCATGGTTACATGGTAGTCACATTTTTATTCTGGAAAGTTTTATGAAACAAAATAACATCTTGCATTTTTTAAAATGAGATACCGTATCTATTGCACAGTTGTGGGAGAGAACGTGTATCATTATTTCATTGAATTGCCTCTATCTCACTCTGGAAAAGAAAATGTCTTATGAGAGAGGCAGCAGTTCTGACTAAAAAAATATCCTTGGAGTCAAGAGGCCTGGGTTGTCGTTATCAGGCCATTTTTGTTGTTGCTAGTGTATTAATGGCTAATATCTATTGAGGACTAGTTACGTTACAGGTACTATGGTAGCTACGTATGTGCATTCTCTCCCTTAACCCCTAAAGCCACCCTTTCCTTTAGGTACTCTGATTAAATCAATTTTAGGTCTGAGAAAGCAAGGCTTGGAGAGGTTAAGTAACTTGGCCCTCGTCATATATCCAGTTAAATGCTAGAACCAGGACTTTCAACCTTGGGAGTCTAACTCTGGAGCTTAAACAAGTAACCATGATGCTATTTGCATTCCTTTTTTAAACAAATTATACTTAAGTTAGTTTTTCTGTCTTTAAAATGGAATATTGCTATTCAGTTTATAGTGCTAGGGAAATGATGAATAAAAACAGAATTAATCATGTATGTTCTTAATTCCTTGAAGATAAGCACCTCTTTGTACAGTGCTGTAGTGTGTTGTGTTCCTTTTTTTTTTTTTTTTTTTTTTTAAACGTTTGTTTGTTTTTGAGAGACAGAGACAGAGTACAAGCAGGGGAGGGGGAGAGAGAGAGGGAGACACAGCATCTGAAGCAGGCTCCAGGCTCTGAGCTGATAGCACAGAGCCTGGCAGGGGGCTTGAACCGATGAACTGTAAGATCATGACCTGAGCCAAAGACGGATAGTGAGCCACCCAGGCGCCCTGTGTTGTGTTCCTTTGGTGCGGTAGGGCCATAACGCGTATCATGTAACCATCGTTTCCCTGTATTTATGTCATGAGGTGATATGGTGGGACTCAAATTATAGTGTGATGCTTAATATTTAAAAACTGTTTTTCAGATGATTCTTCTTTTTTATTTTGTCATCTTTCCTCATATAAAATGATCTTCCCTTTTTGTATTGCTTTCTCCCCCTTTTTCCTGTTCTTATCCCTTTTTCTTCCTTCCTTCCTTCCTTCCTTTCTTTTTTTCTTCCTTCCTTCCTTCCTTCCTTCCTTCCTTCCTTCCTTCCTTCCTTCCTTC